TATATATATATATATATACTTGAAATGAACTCATAAAAATGGAAGGTAGGTTTTGAATACACGATATATAGATATAGATATGTACACCCTCATGGTGACGTCACACGTCTGACAAATTTTGGCAGTGCTCTGGCACAATAAAATTTAGCATTGCACTACTGTCTCCAGAACACAACATTATTTTATTACTTATAGGATTGTCATAAAAATTAATCACACAAGAAAGTAATATGTTTTGATTACTTACCAAATAAGCCTGTTGTACAGCAGAGTGGTCACAGATATTTTCTTGAAGGGTATGGTTGCCATCCACCTAAATAATAACATACATACGGAATGTAAAAATAAATAATAGCATACGCATGTATTGAAAAGTTATGTTTTACATCCACCTACACCATATCTTACATATTCAGAAAGTTTATGAACTTATAACGCTAAAATCCGGGGTTCGATTCCCCACAGTGAACACACCAGATAGCAAGATGTAGATTTGCTCTAAAACAAACAACAAACATTCATCTACACAATAACATCTACACAATATTATTTCGGACGTGTAAGTAAATATGTTTCCATGGCAATAACAGCAAAAGAAAAAAAGACGTTTTAAACAAATTTATATCTTAAACAAACAAAGTTGAAATGGGCAGTAACTGCCTAGTACAGCGTGACGCTTGTGGTGAAAGTCTTGTAGAACTATTCTACAAAATTAGCACAGATGTAAAGAATGACGTTTTCGAAAGATTTCCATCCTTCGTCTTACAGTCAGCTTGCACCCCTCTCTGGTGGGAGTTTAGGTTCTAAAAATCATAAAATGTACAATTCCTCCTCGCCCGCTCGTGGCGAAGGAGATACGGCCTGAAGACTTTGTGAAATTTAGGTTCTCGTTTGGTTCAGACAACAGCCGCTAGGGGAGAAGCCTATAAAAGAACAAAGAAGCAGCCTTGTTTTCTTGCCTCCTAATGAACGTATGGAATATTGTGCTCGAAATAAATTCCCTTCTCCGTTAAAAGAAATAATAATTTAATGGTTCTTAACAAAAAGCTACACCATGGGCTATCTTTGTTGTGCTCATCACAGGTATCGAAATCCAGTGTTTCGCGTTATAAGCTTTCAAACTTACCGCTGAGCTACTGGGGATCAAGATGTAAGAAGAAATAATAGGACTGGTTTTTACAGGGGTTTATATACTATCCGGGAGAACTGATGTGGACGTGACGTATTGGTTGGGAATCATTGCATTGTAGTTGGTAGAGCGAATGATAATTTGACCAATGGTGGCCACAAACTGCTGACTTTCAGGACTGGGTCTCTGTTTAGCAATGATTTCATCGTGTTGATATGGAAAGATTAGATTTGCTTGATTTCAAAATATTGTCTGATTCGATGTGTTTGTAACTGTCTCAGTCTATTTCATGCCCAATCAACACGTGCCTGTTCTGACATGGCAGAATTCTGTGTTTTCATCAGTCTAATGCAGTTTATATGTTTTTTTTATTCTTGACCCAAAGTGTCTTCTGGTTTCTCCAATGTTGGTCTGTTTACAGAAACATGATATCTCATCAATGACATTTTTGTGATTATCATCAGATGTTCTTTGTTTAGTTTTGACAAACACAGATCTGGGTGTTCTGTAAGTTTTCTAGCTAACATCAATTGAGAAACACAGATCTGAATGTTCTGTAAAGTTTCCAACTGACATCAATTGAGTAACACTGATCTGAGTGTTTTGTAAGGTTTTCAGCTACCATCAATTGACAAACACAGATATGAGTGCTCTGTATAAGATTTGCAGTTGACATCAATGATTAACTTTTTGATTACACATTTGATCTTCTCCCTTATGTTTTGCACATAAGAGGGGTAAACAGTGTTGGTCTTGTTTTTCTTGTTTATTGTATCATTTTGTGTTTTTATGTTCCTCGAGCTATTGGTGATGAAATTAAAGGCGTACCCGTTCTGTTTAATTAAAATACTGTAGGATGTGTCGATGTTCGGTTTTGATGGGGTTTTCTTCACAGGTGTTTTCAGCTATATTGTTCAAACACTTAATAATATTGTGTTTGGCAGAAAGTGGACGGTAAAACTGGAATTGTAAGTATCTATCAGAATAAGTTGGTTTTCTGTATATGATTGTTATTAGTTTGTCATTCTGTCTGCTGATATAAATGTCAAGGAACAGCAGGCTGTTACTGTTCTATATTTCCATGGTGAGATGGATTCTGTTGTCTGCAGAATTAAGTTGTTGTAAAAAGGCTAATAAGTTCTCATGGCTATCGGGTTAGATAATAAATGTCAACGTAAAAGCTGGCTTTGTTGTTAGTAGAGGAGAGGGCTCTTTGTTCAAAATCTTCCATTAAATTTCTACTAAAACTGGAGAAAGCGGTGATCCCATATATATTACCGTTAAATGGCAGCAGTATGTAAATGTTGGGCAGCATTATAGCTACGAATTGAGAAACAAGCTTTCCACTTGAACAACGGTTTTGATGATCTTCTTACTATATAAATGTATATAAAACGTGAGAGTAAACAAGTGTTACGACAGCGGAAGTCACGTGACGCTAGTAACACGTCATGAGATTCTAGAAGGATCATGTCTGTTCGTGGCAACTCTAGTCTTTTCTATGCGCCCTCTATTCTTGTATATAAGCGCGCCAGATAAAGCGAGACAATGGATCGGAATGAGATAATTGCAGATTGAAGAGATAGA